GGCAGCATTCCCTCCAGGAGTAAATTGTATCTTTTCCATAATCCTAATCTTCCCTGTATTGTGGCATGTTACAATTATAAATATAATTGCATGCTGTAAAACACTTTAACAGTAAGTAACAGAAGTTGATGTAATGACACTCTGAGGAGGTACAACCAAGAGGTTAACCCTGCTGTTTGAAATAATATTACTTTTAACGTTGCTCTAAATTTTATTTTCCAGTTATTCATCTCATCCAGTGGCTTCATGTTCCCGCAGTAGAGGACTATGGGAAAATGAGAAAGTGCTTGGTTTTCACTTTGCTCTTTGTAATTTCATGACTTCAGCTCTCCATTTTTATTTTATCGTCTCTGTCCTTACTGTGTAAATCCTGCTGATTTCTAACATCCTTTACTTTTCTTCCTCTGAACCTTTGAAAAATTGACCGAATAATGCATGAAGAGAAACAACTGAATAGGCTCCAATTCAGTGTCTAGGAAATAATGGTGAGGGTAAACTATTCAATATAATTGTATTATAAATCATTTCTGTGTTATTTTCTAATCCACTCAAAAGTAACCAAGTGGTTTGTTTGTTTTTTGGAACTTTATCATACCAACATTCAAGTAATAATTTTCCTACAGTTATAGCAGAGCTTGAAGAGGATGAAATGCCAGCCTGTCATAAAGAAATCTTGTGGCTTTGCCTGTTGTTGTGTATGATTTTCATTAAAACTTGTATATTTTAATTCAAAAGTAGAGCCATGAATTCAGCATTAGGTTTTGTTAAACACTGTGCAGTAAGAAGAGTTGGTTTGTAAGTTGGCAGCTGCTCTTTTATCAGTCTGAAGGTTTCTGTTGTTTGCTTCCAACCAGCTCAACAATACTGAGGCCTGAGGCACATGTTAAAACAGGGCCCAGTCCTGCGATCAGATCTGTGTGTGCATACCCTTGGGACCATGCAGAGACCCACTGACTGCAGGATCAGAGCCTGGTATTGCTCAGGTACGTGACTGCATTGTTTTTGCCTGTGACTGGGTTGTTTAGCTCCATGAAAAATGTCTACTGTAAGCATGAAAGGGGCTCCCTGCTGAACTTGCAGGCTTGTTGCTCATCTGTTCTTAGCTCTACTCTTTTCAGTTCTCCCTTTTCCTCCACTGGTGCCCCCAGGCAAGGGCAGATCTAAAATGGGGGCAGTGGCACAGCTGCATCTATTTTTTAGTGGTTGGAGTGCACCATGGTAGCCTCTGGGTTCTTTTTAAAGTCTCTAAAACAAGTGAAAATTCTCCCTCCCTTGCCCTTTCTGCTTGGAGGCACATTCCCTCCCCTCTCCTTCCCCCACCCCCCCACCCGCTGCTGCTGCTTTCCCTTCTGTTCAGAGCCTTTAATGCCCATTGCACATGGGGAGGGTAGGCTCAGCTGGGGAGGGGATAGCAGCAGCAGGGATGGGCAGGGGGTTCTCCTTCTTCATGCCTGCCCCTGGTGACCAGGCAGAGTGGGGGGAACTACTCTCCTGCTACACTTTTGCTGCTCTCTTGTTCCCAGCTGAGTCCAGCTTGCACTCAGCCTGGCTGGCTCTGGAGCTTCTCAGTCTATGAGCAGTGGAGAAAGCAGGGGGGAGGGGGCTGAAAAAGGGGAGAGGGCATGCCTCTGAGCAAGAAGGGTATTTTCATTTGCTTTGGGAACTTTAAAAGATCTCTGGAGTGGAGGCTTCCAAAGCAGGGTCTGCCCACACTGATAGGGCTAGAGGAGGCTGAGAATAGGGCGTGCAGCCATGCAACTACCCCTGCAGTTTGGGTTTCTTTTACTGCACACTCCTTAGGAAATACTGGAGCTACCCCTGCCACCAGACAAGATAAAATGAAGCACAGACAGGCCAAGGTTGAAGGACTAAGAGCTGTCTCCAAAAGGGGAACTTTGCTATCAAGGTGAGGTGACTTCTTTCTCTTATCTTTCTGTATCACCTGTGGAAGAGGGAACCAATCTTTTGTGGTAGGCATGCCACAATTTGGCCCTGCACCCTCTTTAAGTACTCTGAACTCCTCCTGCTGCCTAATCTGATGCTCTGCTTTCTGTTCCCAATGCTGTTCTCCCTGCTCAATATGCTGCTTTGTTTTCTGTTTTCTACCCTACTTGCTGTGCTACCTCCCTGATTTGCTGCATGCCTCCCTGATCTGCTGCATGCCAGGTGGCCTGTGTGCCACCTAGGGCACCCGTGACACTGGTTGGCCATCCCTGCCTTGTAGTTTGCTGGGTGTCAGATTGAACACAATTATCTTCCTGCTGTTGAAGACTATGTTCAATAACAGGAAGGATACTAGGGCGCAAAATGGAAGGAGGGGGGTGGAAGAGAGAGAGAAAAGTGTAGGGAAGGATCTGGTCAGGGTTGCAGCCAGCTGATAGTTGGCAGATTGAAAGACAGCCCTGGAAAAGCAGGGATAAATGGTGGTGCTCCATAATATAGTTGTCTTTTCTTTGCAGAACTAAATTACTTTGCAACAAGTAACATTCAGCATTTGTGATAAAAATATGAAATATATCACATCTGAGACATTATGATGTTGCATGCCTGGGTTTGAGGTGACTGCAGCAAAAGGGACATAAAAAAGCAAGAGAAATTGATCTAGCCAAAGAAAAAATAGAATTATTTAAGAATGCACATATTTCCTTCACAGAACATTCAATTTGCCTCCAATGTGTTAAATTTAGACACTAAATCCCACCATTCAACTGCAAACTAGTGAGATTTTAATGGTACTTTACGTGTAAAATTCAATGTAATGGTAACTATGGGGACCCTGGTGCTACCTCCCTAATACTGTACTCCAGGTGACTCGAAGCAGATCTACAAATTGAACTCAATGGGAACAACACGGTACACAGGAGCAGTCCACACCCTAATATTCTACCTTGCTTCACCAAAGCTGAGACCACCAAATATTGTTTCATTAAAAACATTTATATTAGGCCCAGCTCAAGGTCTCAAAAGGTGCTTGTGATTGGTCTTGTTTTTATTTAGAGATCACCCCTGAATAAGAACATGTTAGTTGAAATAACCATGAGCTCAATAAAACAGCTAAGTGTTGTTATACAGCAAAACCTCCCTCTGGTTTTATTGCCCCCTAGAAACACCATTTGTATAACACTGTCTGTGGGAAATTGTACTAAATCTGTCCTTTCCAATGTATTAATTAGAATCTGTCAGGCATATTTTGACTGAAAGCAGCTTGCAACAGAGTAAGCATATCTCTGGCTGTTAAAAGGATATTAAAACAGCAACAAAAATGATTAGTTAAAAACAGAATTGCATAACAACTATTAAAGTGAGTATGTGTAATTCTCAGCAGAGATTACTTCTTTGATGCAAGGTGCATCTTGCTTACATAAATTCTCTAAAATAATCAAGTTTTTTCACACTGGGTTGAGGGGTTGTGATTGTTTTTTGGCCAGAGTGTTTAATATCTACAGAAATGCATTCATCTACTTGTAAATGAACGCAGCCTTCTGTCCAGCAATTAAACTTCTGATATTTATGGCCTTAAACTCATGTAGGATGAATGAATCACATATTTACTCAGGAGGTTGCACACAAGGGGCCTGTTGCATAGCAAACAACAGCACTTCTAGGTTTTCAAGCACTTGTGTGCCAGAAAATACCAAACTAATGTCAGAAATGTCTTTACTGCTTGAAAAAAAAAAAATGAAGTACAGCACTACTGATAATATTCAAAAAAAATTCTGAGAAAGACAAAGGAACTGGGGAATGAAGTGAGACACAGAAACATATGTACTTATTCTCATCATCCTATAATCCCAAAGGTTCCCCCCCCCCACCCTTCCCCACTTATATTAGCGTTAAGTTATT